GATCGGTATACGGTATCTTCCAGAAGTGAGTCCCCCCTCCCCCGGACTGTATACAATGTATATATATATATCCAGTATCTCCCAGAAGTGAGTCCCCCCTCCCCCGGACTGTATACAATGTATATATATATATATATATATATATATATATATATATACAGTGTCTCCCAGAAGTGAGACCCCCCTCCCCCGGACTGTATACAATGTATATATATATATATATATATATATATATACAGTGTCTCCCAGAAGTGAGTCCCCCCTCCCCCGGACTGTATACAATGTATATATATATATACAGCATCTCCCAGAAGTGAGCCCACCCTCCCCCGGACTGTATACAATGTATATATATATATATCCAGTGTCTCCCAGAAGTGAGTCCCCCCCCTCCCCGGACTGTATACAATGTATATATATATCCAGTATCTCCCAGAAGTGAGTCCCCCCCCCTCCCCCGGACTGTATACAATGTATATATATATATATATATATATATATACGGTATCTCCCAGAAGTGAGCCCACCCCTCCCCCGGACTGTATACAATGTATATATATATATATATATATATATGTACAGTATCTCCCAGAAGTGAGTCCCCCCCCCCCCCGGACTGTATACAATGTATATATATATATACAGTATCTCTCAGAAGTGAGTCCCCCCCTCCCCCGGACTGTATACAATATATATATATATATATATATATATATATCCAGTATCTCCCAGAAGGAGCCCACCCCTCCCCCGGACTGTATACAATATATATATATATATATATATATATATATATATATATGGTATCTCCCAGAAGTGAGCCCACCCCTCCCCCGGACTGTATACAATGTATATATATATATATACAGTATCTCCCAGAAGTGAGTCCCCCCCTCCCCCCGGACTGTATACAATGTGTGTATATATATATATCCAGTATCTCCCAGAAGTGAGCCCACCCCCTCCCCCGGACTGTATACAATGTATATATATATATATACAGTATCTCCCAGAAGTGAGCCCACCCCTCCCCCGGACTGTATACAATGTATATATATATATATGGTATCTCCCAGAAGTGAGTCCCCCCCTCCCCTGGACTGTATACAATGTATATACAGTGGGGATCAAAAGTTTGGGCACCCCAGCTAAAAATTTGTATTAATGTGCATAAAGAAGCCAAGGAAAGATGGAAAAATCTCCAAAAGGCATCAAATTACAGATTAGACATTCTTATAATATGTCAACAAAAGTTAGATTTTATTTCCATCATTTACACTTTCAAAATAACAGAAAACAAAAAAATGGCGTCTGCAAAAGTTTGGGCACCCTGCAGAATTTATAGCATGCACTGCCCCCTTTGCCAAGCTGAGACCTGCCAGTGTCATGGATTGTTCTCAATCATCGTCTGGGAAGACCAGGTGATGTCAATCTCAAAGGTTTTAAATGCCCAGACTCATCTGACCTTGCCCCAACAATCAGCACCATGGGTTCTTCTAAGCAGTTGTCTAGAAAACTGAAACTGAAAATAGTTGACGCTCACAAAGCTGGAGAAGGCTATAAGAAGATAGCAAAGCGTTTTCAGATGTCAATATCCTCTATTCGGAATGTAATTAAGAAATGGCAGTCATCAGGAACAGTGGAAGTTAAAGCAAGATCTGGAAGACCAAGAAAAATATCAGACAGAACAGCTCGCAGGATTGTGAGAAAAACAATTCAAAACCCACGTTTGACTGCACGATCCTCCACAAAGATCTGGCAGACACTGGAGTTGTGGTACACTATTCCACTATAAAGAGATACTTGTACAAATATGGTCTTCATGGAAGAGTCATCAGAAGAAAACCTCTTCTATGTCCTCACCACAAAAATCAGCGTTTGAACTTTGCAAATGAACATATAGACAAGCCTGATGCATTTTGGAAACAAGTTCTGTGGACCGATGAGGTTAAAATTGAACTTTTTGGCCGGAATGAGCAAAGGTACGTTTGGAGAAGAAGGGGCACAGAATTTAATGAAAAGAACCTCTGTCCAACTGTTAAGCATGGGGTTGGATCAATCATGCTTTGGGGTTCTGTTGCAGCCAGTGGCACAGGGAACATCTCACGAGTAGAAGGAAAAATGGATTCAATAAAATTTCAGCAAATTTTGGATGGTAACTTGATGCCATCTGTGAAAAATCTGAAGTTAAAGAGAGGATGGCTTCTACAAATGGATAATGAGCCTAAACACACCTCGAAATCCACGGGGGATTACATCAAGAGGCGTAAACTGAAGGTTTTGCCATGGCCTTCACAATCTCCTGACCTCAACATAATTGAAAATCTATGGATAGACCTTAAAAGAGCAGTGCGTGACAGACAGCCCAGAAATCTCAAAGAACTGGAAGACTTTTGTAAGGAAGAATGGGCAAAGATACCTCAAACAAGAATTGAAAGACTCTTGGCTGGCTACAAAAAGCGTTTACAAGCTGTGATACTTGCCAAAGGGGGCAGTACAAGATATTAACTCTGCAGGGTGCCCAAACTTTTGCAGACGCCATTTTTTAGTTTTCTGTTATTTTGAAAGTGTAAATGATGGAAATAAAATCTAACTTTTGTTGCCATATTATAAGAATGTCTAATCTGTAATTTGATGCCTTTTGGAGATTTTTCCATCTTTCCTTGGCTTCTTTATGCACATTAATACAAATTTTTAGCTGGGGTGCCCAAACTTTCGATCCCCACTGTATATACTGTAAATACGGTATCTCCCAGAAGTGAGCCCACCCCTCCCCTGGACTGTATACAATGTATATATATATATATACAGTATCTCCCAGAAGTGAGTCCCCCCCCCCCCCCCCCTCACATTTTTGTAAATATTTGATTCTCTCTTTTCATGTGACAACACTGAAGAAATGACACTTTGCTACAATGTGACGTAGTCAGTGTACCGCTTGTATAACATGGAAATTTGCTGTCCCTTCAAAATGTATAATAATAATAATAGTGTGTGACTGCAGGGGGGGGGGCATTAGAGTGTAAGCTCCTCTGGTGACTGATGTGACTGGCACGGTTTTCCCTGCGGTATACTGTATGTCAGAGCTATATAAATGTATACTAGTAATAGTGTATGACTATGAGGGGACATTAGAGTGTAAACTCCTCTGGTGACTGAGAATAATTTCTCATATGTTCCCTGTACAGCGCTGCGGTATATGTCAGAGCTATATAAATAAATGTATAATAATATTGTGTGACTGTGGCAGGACATTAGAGTGTAAGCTCCTCTGGTGACTGATGTGACTGGCTCAGTGTTCTCTGTACAGCACTATGGAATATGTCAGAGCTACATAAATGTATAATAATAGTGTGTGACTGAGAGGGGGGGGCATTAGAGTGTAAGCTCCTTTGGTGACTGGTGTGACTGGCACTGTGTTCCCTGTGGTATACTGCATGTCAGAGCTATATAAATGTATAATAGTAATAGTGTGTGACTGTGGGGGGACATTAGAGTGTAAGCTCCTCTGTACAGAGACTGATGTGACTGTGGGGGAGGGCTCAGTGATCTCTGTACAGCACTATGGAATATATGTCAGAGCTATATAAATGTATAATAATAATAGTGTGTGACTGTGGGGGAGGGGACATTAGAGTGTAAGCTCCTTTGGTGACTGATGTGACTGTCTCAGTGTTCTCTGTACAGCACTATGGAATATGTCAGAGCTATATAAATGTATAATAATAATAATAATAGTGTGTGACTGAGAGGGGGGGAACATTAGAGTGTAAGCTCTTTTGGTAACTGATGTGACCGGCACGGTTTTCCCTGCGGTATACTGTATGTCAGAGCTATATAAATGTATAATAGTAATAATGTGTGACTGTGGGGGGACATTAGAGTGTAAGCTCCTCTGGTGACTGATGTGACTGTCTCAGTGTTCTCTGTACAGCACTGCGGTATATGTCAGAGCTATATAAATGTATAATAATAATATTGTGTGACTGAGAGGGGGGGGCATTAGAGTGTAAGCTCCTCTGGTGACTGATGTGACTGGCACTGTGTTCCCTGTGGTATACTGTATGTCAGAGCTATATAAATGTATACTAGTAATAGTGTATGACTATGAGGGGACATTAGAGTGTAAGCTCCTCTGGTGACTGATAATAATTTCTCTATGTTCCCTGTACAGCACTGCGGTATATGTCAGAGCTATATAAATAAATATATTAATAATAGTGAATGACTGTGGTGGGGAAATTAGATTGTAAGCTCCTCTGGTGACTGATATGAATGGCTCAGTGAGAGGAAACCCACACAAGCACAGGAAGAACATGCTAGCAGCGCAGGTAGCGATTTTAGTTCTGCATGGCGGAAGTGCTAACCACTTAGCTACAGTGCTGACAGCTGACTATAACGTAACACACATTTTTACCAAAACCACAAAAGACACAGAAAGCAAGATTCACAAAAGCAACGCACGGACGTGAAGGTCTTCATAGATAATAATGTAACCAGCAGGGGCGGACTGACAACTCATGGGGCCCCCGGGCAATAGGGGATCATGGGGCCCCTGTGTCCTTGCCCAAACTCAAAAAAAGCCTATGAAAAAGGTACCAGGGGCATCTTATGGGGCCCCCTACTGACCCCGGGCCCTCGGGCAGTGCCCGAGTTTCCAAATGGTCAGTCCGCCCCTGGTAACCGGTTTTCATGCGCTTTTAGCGTACTTTGATCCTGCGCACATAAAATACAATGGTGTGAATGGGCCTTTAGAAAAATGCATACATATCCGAAGTGAAACCTTTAATGACCCCCCTGTACCAGAACACTGTGTCCCTTGTTTACAGATGACAGAACACATGGCAAGCATCGATAACGTAGATCTATCTCGGCTCAGCCGCTCATAACAGACTCAATATGGAGGCTGATAAGGGCTCTGCGGGGTACGCCCTCTGTTATTATAGAGAGGGGGGTCACAGCACACAGGACTCAGAGAGACGATCCGAGAGAGAGGAGGCATGGATTCCAGGGTCTTCATCCTTCTAGCCACACTCCTGGCCTTCCAGGCTGCATGTAAGTCCCAATCCCAACAAGTGATCAGGAGACTGTGGTGCTGACAAGTCAGTAGCGCAGTCTATTCCGCACACAGTATCAGGTTATCGCTTTATTTTAACTTTTATGTTTAGTTGGAATTTTAAGCTCATTGTTTTATTTTAATTTTAAACTTTAAATTTAAATTGTAATTATATTTAATTGTAATCTTTTTAAAATTCAGATTTTATATTTTAATTTAAAATGTATATATTTAAATGAGTGCAAAGATCTGGAGGGATATATAGAAATCAGGAGCCAGTGGCAACTGCTAAGACTTCAGGATTGTGGTTTGGGTTAATGAAAGATGATTTGTAATAGGTTACCATTGGCTAGTATACAAAATGAGAGAAGAGGTAGTGTGCAGATACTAAGAATTACACCAGGACAAGAGAAGTGGGACTGTGCAGAGTCCATACATTCAGAATAAGGACAGATACCGAGAATGACACCCGGCATCCAGGACAAGAGAAGTGGGACTGTGCAGAATCCATACATACAGAATAAGGACAGATACCGAGAATGACACCCGGCATCCAGGACAAGAGAAGTGGGACTGTGCGTAGTCCATACATACAGAATAAGGACAGATACCGAGAATGACACCCGGCATCCAGGACAGGAGAAGTGGGACTGTGCGTAGTCCATACATATAGAATAAGGACAGATACCGAGAATGACACACCCGGCATCCAGGACAAGAGAAGTGGGACTGTGCAGAGTCCATACATTCAGAATAAGGACAGATATCGAGAATGACACCCGGCATCCAGGACAAGAGAAGTGGGACTGTGCAGAGTCCATACATTCAGAATAAGGACAGATATTGAGAATTACACCCGGCATCCAGTACAAGAGAAGTGGGACTGTGCAGAGTCCATACATTCAGAATAAGGACAGATATCGAGAATGACACCCGGCATCCAGGACAAGAGAAGTGGGACTGTGCAGAGTCCATACATACAGAATAAGGACAGATACAGAGAATTAACCACAGACTATTAAAGAAATGATAAGGGAAACATTTCCTGAGAAGCAAGCAGGCAAGAGACAAAAGGGATATTGCGCAGGCTTATGACCCGGAATATGAAAACAACGGTTTCTAAAGTGACTGCAGGACTCAATCTCAGTCTTAATAAAAGTACTCAGGCTTAATAAAAGTGCAAGACATCAATGAAGGTTCTCATTGTTCCAGGTCACGGTGTATCTAATATCTAATTGTAGCTAGACACCTTCAGCGGGACTTGTTCTGTAATGTTGAAGCAAATTCTTCAGTTCTAATTTGTGTCAGGAAGATAACCCAACATTTGTATCCACACAGGTAGCACACGTGCCTTAATCCAATAACCATGATATTGGGAAATATTGAAGAATGCCAGGGAAACAGGACACATCCCATGGTTACTGGACTGAGGTGTTTGGGCTACCCGTGTGGACATAGATGTTGGAGTATCTTCTTGGCACTCATTAGCAGGGCTTCCACCTTTCTGAACCACCCCTGTCTTCGCCCCCGACCCACCTCCGAGCACCGTCACTTGGTTCCAACCTCTACCCACCTCCCAGTACTGCCCCTTTTTAGAGAAAAAAGAGCCAAGTATATACTTTGCAATGCTAAGTAATTTGCATGTAATTTGTTAATAATAATAGGAAAAGCAGTAAAATAGACCCCATGTAGACAGCAAAATTTGACCCACCCCAGCAACAAAAGACTCCCATACAACAGTAGACCGCCCCAGCAACAATGGACCCCTGCAACAAAAGTCCACCCAAGCAGCAATAGATCTCCCAGAAGCAACAACAGATCTCCCAGCAGCCAGCATCAGCAGAACTCCCCCTAATCAGTAGATCCCTCCCAGCAACAATTGACGACCCCCCTTCCCCCCAGGAACAATGAATCTCCTGCAACAAAAGAGTACCTAAGCAACAACAGACCCCCAGCAGAAACAACAGATCTCCTAGCAGCCAGCATCAAAAGACCTCAGAGGTAGTTCCCTCCCAGCAACAATTTCCCCCCCCCCCACAGCTATAATAGATTCCCCACCAACAACAATAAACCTTCCCAGCAACAATAGACCCCCATGCAAAAATAGATCCTCTCCAGGGATAATGGATCCCCCCCAGGGGCGGACTGACCATTTGGAAACTTGCCCGGGGTCAGTAGGGGGCCCCATGAAATACCCCTGGTACCCTTTTCATAGGCTTTTTTGAGTTTGGGCAAGGACACTGTGGCCCCATGATCCCCTATTGCCCGGGGTCCCATGAGTTGTCAGTCTGCCCCTGGATCCCCCAACAGCCAGCATCAATAGACTCTCCGGCGCACCCCTTGCCATTTCAAACATTCAGTGCTAGAGGTTCCAGAACTACGTTTTCCCGATTGCCTGCCGAAAACAAAGCTCTGCTCACTAGAATCAAAGCAGTGGCTTGAAGAAGCTACAGAACATCTCCAATATTAAAGAACAAGTCTTGTGTATGTTACTAAGTACCATAGCTCCCAGCTGGCTATCATTTGAAGGGACGGTCCCTCTTTTGGAGCCAAATCCCTCCAAATCCCTTTTTTCTCCTCAGTTGTCCCTCTTTTGCTAGACAACTATAAAAATGCATTTAGCTACAAAAAAATGTCCTATTATTGCACCAAACCTTCTTCTAACCTTAAAAGGTAGTATAAAGTAAAAACAATATTGAAAAAATAAAATGTGTTTGTGGGGTTGAGCAAAGATTTTATTGTGAATTTATTCTCCATGGTCTACATAATTGGCAATGTTACAGTGGCATGTCCTTTACCTACATACCTTGTACTTTAAGGTGTCCATTCTTCTCAGTTCTGAAAGTTAGGAGTTATGAATTCTACCAGCAAAGGTGCAGGACAAGCCTTCTTGGACTGTTCCTGGGTGTTCCTCTCCTGTTCATGGTTTACCATTGCCAATACCAGCTGATCCTAAAAACGTAGCGTAGATACATCTGTTTCTGTGGCTTATATGTATTGAATTGTTATGCTTTGCCTTTAAGAGTTCCTCTAACTCCTCCGGAAACACAAGTTGTGTCTTGACATCTTGAGATCAGCAACTCTCTATCTTTCCCCAGGGGCCAAGCTTGATGTCCTTGTGGAACATCCCACTTTATCAGCCAAACCTGGAGACAAAGTCCAACTGAAATGTGTTCTGCAGAACTTCGCACAGCCTCTGGTTCTGAAGAATTTCATGGTGCAGTGGTTCACCCGTGGGAAGCAAGTGGCCGAGTTTGACGATACAATCACCATCAATAAACCGGGATTCTCAATGTCCCTGGATGCCATAGGGAAAGGAGATGCCACCTTGACCATTGAGTCCTTCACCCCAGACGATGCTGGCAACTATCGCTGTCATGTCTACTATAACTCAGACACTAACTTGAAACAAATTGTCCTGTCAGGTAAGTGGACATCAGACTTATCCTGGGTAGGAGGGATGGTTGTACAAAGCATCTATACACTCTATTTGCATCCTTTCTGATTCACCAATATCAATGTTAGTTTGTTTCTGCAACGGAAATATTATATCACTAACATTTAGGTCAGGGGGTCCCCAAACGTTATAAACAAAGGGCCAATTTACTGTCCTTCAGACTTCATGGCAGCCGCACTATGGCCAGTGGGAGCAGAAAACGCCCTAGTGTCAGCGGAGGGTAAAAATAAAATGACCTATAGTGCTCTATTATTGTTAATAGTGGAAGAAATAGTGCCCCGTTGTTGATGTCAATGGGAGGAATAGTGTCCCATCATTGGTGTCATCAGGAGGAATAGTGCACCATCATTGGTATTAGCAGGAGGAATAGTGCCCCATCATTGGTATCAGGGGGAGGAATAGTGGCCTATCATTGGTATCAGTGGGAGGAATAGTGCCCCATCATTGGTATCAGTGGGAGGAATAGTGTCCCATCATTGGTATCAGTGGGAGGAATAGTGTCCCATCATTGGTGTCAGTGGGAGGAATAGTGCCCCATCATTGGTGTCAGTGGGAGGAATAGTGCCCCATCATTGGTGTCAGTGGGAGGAATAGTGCCCCATCATTGGTATCAGTGGGAGGAATAGTGCCCCATCATTGGTGTCAGTGGGAGGAATAGTGCCCCATCATTGATATCCGTGGGAGGAATAGTGCCCCATCATTTGTATCAGTGGGAGGAATAGTGCCCCATCATTGGTATCAGTGGGAGGAATAGTGCCCCATCATTGGTATCAGTGGGAGGAATAGTGGCCCATCATTGGTATCAGTGGGAGGAATAGTGGCCCATCATTGGTATCAGTGGGAGGAATAGTGGCCTATCATTGGTGTCAATGGGAGGAATAGTGCCCCGTTGTTGATGTCAGTGGGAGGAATTATTATTATTATACAGTATTTATAAAGCGCCAATAGTTCGCTCAGCGCTGTACATTACAAAGGGGGACAGAACATGTGACAGAACAATACCAATACAATGCAAAACATGAGGGGATCGAGGGCCCTGCTCTTTCGAGCTTACAATCTAGGAGGGAATAGTGCGCTACTATGGCATTAGTAAGAGGAAAAGTGTTGCATCATTGGGGTCATTGGGAGGAATTGTACCACACTGTTGGTGTCCGTGGAAGGAGATAATCCTCTTCGCTGGTATCCTTGGGAGGAATAGGACCTCTTATCAGCAGATAGAATAGTGCCCAAGGACAGGCAAAGAACCACACCCAGCCCACGGGCCGCACTTAGAGGACTACTGAGTGTGGTGGATAAAAAATAAATCGTCATGGTCTCTTTCCCAAAGTTCTATGCTCTTGTAAGCATAGAGATGGTTTTGCTCTGGAATGGCTCCTAAATTTAGATCTTCTTTCCCCCCAGACCCTTCTTGTTTTGCCTACATGATATTAGAAACAAAGATGAAGGACCTTTTTTAGAGATACAGTACACATAGTCACTAGCCTGTATAATGCAGACACTAGATTTTTAACACTCTAGCTGTCCAAATTCTCCAAAGTTTGAGGTACGTGGAAGACTTTAATCAGTGGAACCTAAAGCATAACTCTAGCTCCTGAGTACACAGTTCCATAATAGGAGCAACACCTGGAAGTTTAAAACGTGTGTATATCCCAAACTTTTTGGACAGGGTGGGGTAGTGGTAAAAGCCTTGTGATGTTTTGCTTTTTTTGTCTGTCTGTGTCCTCACTAGGTAAATTCCCCCCTTCTCTATGTTCTGTTGTCACTTGTAATTGAGACATAAAATGAGGGGAAACTCCAAATTTTAGAGTTGTCACCAGAACAAGAGGCTAGGATAAGTCTTCCAGTAAAAACATTTGATCTGGTAATAACTGTCCAAAATGGGTAATTGTCCTCAGCCTTCCTATCACTTTCTTTGCATTTCAGCGACAGGAGAGAGCAAAAAAAGAAAAAAACTGACAGTGGTCCTCACCCTTCCCTACACTATCGATCGAAACTGAATTTTTCTTTGGCATATTCTAAATAAATCTTCCAGAGGGCCTCATTCACTCCAGAACGTGGTGTGTTCAAAACGCAATGCAGTTGTGATCTGCAACAGGTGTCAATGCCAATGACACCCCTGAACGCAGGTCGGAACACAATGCATTTGTCTGCAATTGTACAGAAGTACCATGCGATCCACATTGCAGTGCATTGCCAAATGTAGTGCACTACTTTTGGTGCGGTCCTGTGAGATTTCAGCCCTCAAATGGGCTCAAATCGCACTGCACTGAACTGCATGTGAATCACACAGGAATGCGTTGTGAATTCTAGTGTGACCTGGCCTTAATCACCACTAAATGTGACCCTACTTTGGTTCATAGTGGCTCTAAACCTACCAATGGAGAGGAGGGATCACATAGTTGCTTACACCATGGATGTTTGACATGTAAGCAAGTATCTGAACTACCCCTTTTGACAATACTCATAATTGTTGGAGGCTCAGGGAAGAATTGTGGCTAGAGAAGGAGAACCTTCAATGTCCAGCTCTCTAGACATCTCGGAGAAATGAGTTCTCAATGGTCTATAATCCCTAGAGATAAGGACAATACTAGGGTTCTAAAAGCCTCAGGTTACCCATGGATACAATGGAGGAATTCCTCTGTGTCATGTGCCCCCTGTGTTATCTGGAGCTGAAGGTGACTCAGTGTGTAATTTGGTCCCCAATTTAAATAGGAGTGATTGTTCCATGCAAATGTGGGTAAGCCAGACCTCCAAGGGTGAAGCTGCTCTTCAACATACCAAACTAGCTTGATGAGCACCCATGACCATTTGTTCTGAAGCTTGCAGCATACCATGCTGAACATTGGGTGAGGCTGTTGAAGCTTGACCTTGTATGTCTTCCCTTGTTTCTCCCATCTCATTGCTGAATTCCCTCTTTAGGTTCCTTTCCTCTTTCCTATTGCACTCTGTTAGAGCTGAGCTCTGGCCATTTGCTAGCAGTGCTCCCTGGCCAGAGAAGCAAGGCACTCATAGAAACATCTAAAAGTACCTTGAAACTCCACAGCTTCCACTATATCTTTTATTTCAAATCCTTAAAAATGCAACATTGTGAGGAACTCCAGTGAGTGAAGCCACCCATCAATATACCCAATTAGTGGGCCTTAAAAGTATTTTTCAGGGCACCCATGGTCATTTCTTCTGGGGCTTGTAGCACACCATGATGAAAAGTGGGTGAGGTAATAAATCTTGACCTTGAATGTCCTCCCCATAAATCTCCCATTTCCTTTCTCTTTGCAGAAATCCATCCCTTAGGTAGCATTCAACCTTTCCTCTCTTTCTTTGAGTTCAGTAAATTGTTCCTCCAATAAGAACAGCCACCCATAAATATAACCAACTAGTGGGTCTTAAAGAAAACTATTTTTGAGGGCAACAGTGATGATCAGTAATCCAACAAAATAATACCAGAATCTCTAATGCACTTTATCAACTATGTGACATTATTCTAAAGCAATGACTGGATGTGGCCCTTTGCTTGCCTTTAGCCCTTGGGGCACTATACCTCCCTCTGATATGAGACACTACTTTCCCAATGATACCAATGATGGGGCACTATTCCTCCCACTGATACCAATGATGGGGCACTATTCCTCCCACTGATACCAATGATGGGGCACTATTCCTCCCACTGATACCAACAATAGGCCACTATTCCTCCCACTGACACCAATGATGGAGCACTATTCCTCCCACTGATACCAATGATGGGGCACTATTCCTCCCACTGATACCAACAATAGGCCACTATTCCTCCCACTGACACCAATGATGGGGCACTATTCCTCCCACTGATACCAATGATGAGGCACTATTCCTCCCACTGATACCAATGATGGGGCACTATTCCTCCCACTGATACCAATGATGGGGCACTATTCCTCCCACTGATACCAATGATGGGGCACTATTCCTCCCACTGACACCAATGATGGGGCGCTATTCCTCCCACTGACACCATCGATGGGGCACTATTCCTCCCACTGATACCAATGATGAGGCACTATTCCTCCACTGATACCAATGATGGGGCACTATTCCTCCCACTGATACCAACAATAGGCCACTATTCCTCCCACTGACACCAATGATGGGGCACTATTCCTCCCACTGATACCAATGATGAGGCACTATTCCTCCCACTGATACCAATGATGGGGCACTATTCCTCCCACTGATACCAATGATGGGGCACTATTCCTCCCACTGATACCAATGATGGGGCACTATTTCTCCCACTGACACCAATGATGGGGCACTATTCCTCCCCCTAATAGCAAATAGGGTGATGTTTGCTCCCACTGTTGCTAGAAAACCTTCCACTCCCGATCGGCTGGACTTCCATAGAGTCTGAAGGACAATAAACTGGCCCTTTGTTTAGAAAGGTTGTAGACCCCTGTTCTAAAGAATAGTGAGTTGAACGTTACTAGAGGAGATGCAAGAAGGGGTTTACAACGAACAACCTCACAACCAAGGCTAACTGAAGACTCAAATGTTTTTCCTAAACTTGGAATAATGGCAAAAATGACTTCCAAAAGTAACACTTAGTATAGGACCCATTCCCTGGGTTTCAGAGTCTAGCAATGGACCTTCCCAGTGGTCCTGACTACGATGTTTGGTGGCATCTGATACTGCATAACAAGCACCATGTTTCTGCATTGTCACCATTTCAGAATCAAAGAACCAATGGGTGAGATCCCAAGTGGAGGTCATCAGAATTTTATAGCAAAGCATGTGATACAAACTATAGTTATTAATAATTTCAAGTACTTAAAAAGCTCCACCAACAGCAGTACTTTACATATATTTTGTACATTCACATCAGTCCCTGCACTCAAGGAGCTTACAATCTAAGGTCCCTAACTCACATTCATACATACACATACTAGGGACAATTTAGACAGGGGCCAATTGCCTACTAGCATGTCTTTGGAGTGTGGGAGAAAACCGGAGTACCTGGAGGAAACACACAGAGGAACAAGAACATGCAAACTCCAGGTAGGTGATGCCGTGGTTGAGATTCGAACCGATGATCCTAGTGCTGCTAGGCAGAAGGACTAACCACTTTGCCACTAAGTTGCCCTTTATATGATTTATTTGTCTTTATTTGTGGCTCCATAATCATACTTTTCACTTTAAACTCTTGAAACCCTACGTTACATTGTTAGAGAACTGGACTTGTATAACAGACATTGGTATCCCAGTTTGGTCCTCTTCCAGAGGTCTTGAATGGGATTGAACGGACCGAATGATAAAATTTTGTAAGTCTGCAGTAAAATCCTTCTGACCTATCCTTTATATCTCTCATATCCACAGATTCCACCAAGCCAAAGGAGGAGGAGGACAATACGCTGAGCACGCTGACCACTTGTGAATCCATCCTTGACAAAAAGTTGGACATCATCATTAAGTGGTCTGAGAAGGTCGACGCCAAGTTGGATGAGCTGAAGAAGTGCCCAAAATAAAAGCTTGCCATGAAGTCATGAATAGTTTTGCATTTCCTTTATGATAAGTGTATTATCTCTGCTGGCCACTTGCAATGAGGCTTTGTTTTCACAGTTGTTTGGATCCCTCCAACATGCTCCACCATTGCTGACCTTGCAGATGAAACTCCACGTTCCATTTTTTTTGCCCTTTTCGATTCTCTTTCAATAATTTTTTTTTTTTAAAACTTGGAATGAAAAGTGAAATGGCACATAGAAGCCGAGGGATAAGAAGGTTTAAAGTGTAAGTCCACCCAAAACTTTTTTAAAATTTAGTTTTGGATAGAAAAGGAAGAGGTTATAACCATTCCTGGGGAAAATAGCACCCCGGGGTGAACACGCCAAATTTTGCCCTCCCCCCCAAGATGTATGAGCACTATGTGTCAGCAAAAATCCCCCCCCCCCAAAATAAAAGCACTAATCCCCACATGGAAGAAAAATATATTTGAAATATATTTTAAAAATATTCTTCCCAAATATATTGCCATATATTTGAAATACTACAATTTTTTTAAAAACATATTTTTTTAAATATATTCTTCAGATTTTTTTTAACATATAAAAAAGTCATGTTTACATATATTTGTAAATTCATTCCAAAAATGTAGATTTGTATTTTTAAAGAGATACAGTATATTTGAAATGTATTTTTAAAAATATTTTTCATATACTTTGTAATAAAAAAATAAAAATACATTTCAACATGCAGAAATATATATATATTTATTGAAATATATTAAAAATATGACCAACATTGTAGTATTTCACATATATGGCAATATATTTAGGAAGAATATTTTTAAAATATATTTAATTAATATTTTTCTTCCATATGGGTCTGCATGCTTACCCCCTAAGCATAAATTTCCCCTCCTCCAAATACAAATCTGTCCCCCTTCACAGCAAACATCTTTGCCCCATCCCTCCAGCTCAAATCATCTCCCTCCCCATATGTCCCCAAGACAACCCCCCCTCCCCCCCAGTAAGAAAAAAATACCCTCCTAGTACACATCTTCAAATTACCTCTGCAAGCGCAACCCCCCACTTCAAATCCTCCCAGTAAAATTTCCCCTCCCCCAATTCCCCATCCTAGCACAAATCCCCCCACAAAAAATCCCCCCTGTACCATATCACCTTTTCTAGTACAACCCCCCCCAAATCCCTTCTCCTAGCATACATCCTCTCCCAACACAAATCCCCACCAAATCATCCCACCTAGCACACCTTCCAAAATTTCCACTCTTAGAACCATTCTTACCCCTTCTGCCCCCCAAATTCTTCCTCCCAACTCAATTCTCCTCCACCCAATCTGCATGTGGTGCCCTCCCACCTCACATGATCGTGATCATAAGATTGGGGTCCCTTATCCTAGAGGTTGCAGGGGGCCACTTTTTGGAAGTCATAGAAGACATTGCTCCCATTCTGTAGGTGATTGTGTGCGATAAGAAAATGATACGCCATGGTGGGCGGTAAAATCTTGGCTTGTATTTTTGGGTTTGTTGTGCAGAATAATAATTTCCTTCTAATAAAATCTTTTATCGAGTGAAAAGGTGAATGTCTTGTTTATCATTTAGGAGAGTGGGGGGGGGGGGGGGGGGGGGGTTTACAAATCAGTTTGGTCACCAGTCTGCCCCCAGCTGGTTGGACAGTGAAGGAGCAGCATACTCCATGACGGTAGCTGTCCTCAGTCTCAGTGATGATGTGTCCCGGGGGATGTTCCAGGATCACAGTGTCACCCACACGTTGCATGCACAGTAACTAATAGGCATTCATTATGGTGATTGGTGGCTGGGTGGGCGTTTCCTGCATTATAGAGGTGGGGTTTGAGTAGGAATGCTCTGGTAAGAGGGTGAAGCCTGGCCAGGACCACCTGGTCACTGGGTGGGCCTAAGGCAGGCTAGGTCAACGGTTTCCAAAGTCGGTAAGTATGCTTCCTGATGAAGTCATCACTCTGCTTTCTGCTACTGTCAGCATGTTCCAGGAGACTGAAGAAGAAAATAACTGGCTTCCAATCCTGCACCCCCTCCCCCTCCCTGTGTGAGTCCTCCTCTCCAGGGCCTTACGGGAAGTGCAATGAGGACAGATTCAGCTAGCAATATTCAATCAGACATTTCATTTTTTTTTTGCTGTGTGTTTTGTGAATGGAAGGAGGGGGGGGAGGGTGCTCTTCAGCATTCACTCCCATCAGATCAGTTAAATACGCAGAGAATCAAATGTGACATTCCTCATTGAGAAGACGACTGCCCTTTGGTGGGCTTGCATTGATATTCAGGATGATTCCAGCCATATCCCACGCTGTACTGAACAGATGTACACTATATTGCCGAAAGTATTGGGCCTCCTGCCTTTCCACACACATGACCTTTAATGGCCCCCTAGCTTAGTCCGTAGGGTTCAATATTGAGTTGGCCCCGCCCTTTCCACACACATGACCTTTAATGGCCTCCCAGTCTTAGTCCGTAGGGTTCAATATTGAGTTGGCCCCGCCCTTTGCAGCTATAACAGCTTCAACTCTTCTGGGAAGGCCGTCCACAAGGTTTAGGAGGGTGTCTATGGGAAGGTTGGACCATTCTTCCAGAAGCACATTTGTCAGGTCAGGCACTGATGTCGGGGGAGGAGGCCTGGCTCGTAGTCTCCGCTCTAATTCATCCCAAAGGTGTTCTATGGGGTTGAGGTCAGGACTCTGTGCAGGACAGTCAAGTTCCTCCACCCCAAACTGGCTCCTCCATGTCTTTATGGACTTGCTTTGTGCACTGGTGGGCAGTCATGTTGGAACAGGAAGGGGCCATCCCCAAACTCCTCCCACAAAGTTGGGAGCATGAAATTGTCCAAAATGTCTTAGTATGCTGACGCCTTAAGAGTTCCCTTCACTGGAACTAGGGGGCCAAGCCCAACCCCTGAAAAACAACCCGCATCAGAATTGCACCCCATTCATGCGAACCGCTGCGGGTGTCTATGTTAAGTTAACAACACCCCAAAATCAGTCCGCAAAACGCGGTGCGAGGTGCAGAATCGGATCGCATAGGTGTGCATACTCATGCGATCCGATTCTAGTGCGAACCCAAAAAAAAAAGGAGAGGAGAAGAAGCTGGCTTTCAGCTGCTGCAGAGAAAGCCATATATGGGATCGGTTCCAGTAATTACCCCCCCGTGCCAATCACCCTCCCTACCCAGAGCCAAATCACCCAGGCCTGGGCCCCATACAGTAGGACAGGTGGTACCCCCTTTATCCACAGCCCTGATCACAGCTGCAATGCGAGCAGGGGCAGACTGACAACTCATGGGGCCCCCGGGCAATAGGGGATCATGGGGCCCCTGTGTCCTTGCCCAAACTCAAAAAAGCCTATGAAAAAGGTACCAGGGGCATCTCATGGGGCCCCCTACTGACCCCGGGCCCTCGGGCAGTGCCAGAGTTTCCAAATGGTCAGTCCGCCCCTGGTTACATGTCGTCAATGTACCCTGCACTTTACATATATTACACTTTCAGATCGATTTGAGGACAAGATAGGATTTTCAGTTCATGGAAGTCCATAAAACAGGATTTTTTTCGTTGGGTCGGATACTTCTTTTGTTCCAAATAACATTTTATAGAAGTGGCTGACACACGTGGGATCATCATTCAGTGGTAGATGGGTCTGGGTGATAGTGATGGAGAAAGTGCCCCTGAAGGGCGATCGCAGTTATGACAGCTCAGCCCTTATCTAGGAGAAGACTGCCAGTGTGTGGGCAAGATAAGAGCTCAGTGCTGAGACCGTCCTGCCCCCGCCCGACGCCTGTGTGTGTACTATGGACAAGGGACGGAGAGCTCAGGACCGGCCACTGAGGACTGCGGGGTGGCTAGGACCCACCATGACCCTTCTACCCCTCTGCATCACCTGTAAGTACACAATATCTGTTCACCTTTTTGGCTGGAGTTCCATTGAAACTCCTTGAACACAACATGGAGAATCGACTCCAGCAGACTGACAGCCATGCATGGCCCCCATAGACACATAGACCCCTGTGGCCCCTAGATATGGCTGCTGGATATTATATGAACGTTTCAGGAATGCAGGGGCCACCATTGTTACCTCCCTCTGAAAACGGCTGATTGGCTGCAATGCTTGGAGTCACTAACCCGGAACAAGCATGCGCATACTTATCTCCATACTTGTATTGAGGCCGAAGGGCCCGGACACGTTGTGTTCATGATTCTCCTTCACCGATAAACACCGGCCAACCGGATGGCACCTCCCCCCATACACATTGCAAGCCCCGAGATCCTCCCACACTCCAGTCTCCTCCATCTCTCAGTATTGGGTCATTATAACGACCATTTGTTGGGGGACATTCTGCACCCCTTCAGCTGCAATGTATTCGGTGTGATAGTGAGATACAATGTATCGGTGTGATAGTGAGATACAATGTATCGGTGTGATAGTGAGATACAATGTATCGGTGCGATAGTGAGATACAATGTATCGGTGTGATAGTGAGATACAATGTATCGGTGTGATAGTGAGATACAATGTATCGGTGTGATAGTGAGATACAATGTATCAGTGTGATAGTGAGATACAATGTATCGGTGTGATAGTGAGATACAATGTATCGGTGTGATAGTGAGATACAATATATCGGTGTGATAGTGAGATACAATGTATCAATGTGTGATAGTGAGATACAATATATCGGTGTGATAGTGAGATACAATATATCGGTGTGATAGTGAGATACAATGTATGGGTGTGATAGTGAGATACAATGTATCGGTGTGACAGTGAGATACAATGTATCGGTGTGATAGTGACATACAATGTATCGGTGTGATAGTGACATACAATGTATTCGGTGTGATAGTGACATACAATGTATCGGTGCGATAGTGAGATACAATGTATCGGTGCGATAGTGAGATACAATGTATCGATGCGATAGTGAGATACAATGTATCGGTGCGATAGTGAGATACAATGTATAGGTGTGATAGTGAGATACAATGTATCGGTGCGATAGTGAGATACAATGCATCGGTGCGATAGTGAGATACAATGTATCGGTGTGATAGTGAGATACAATATATCGGTGTGATAGTGAGATACAATGTATAAATGTGTGATAGTGAGATACAATGTATCAGTGTGATAGTGAGATACAATATATCGGTGTGATAGTGAGATACAATGTATAAATGTGTGATAGTGAGATACAATGTATCAGTGTGATAGTGAGATACAATATATCGGTGTGATAGTGAGATACAATGTATAAATGTGTGATAGTGAGATACAATGTATCGGTGTGATAGTGAGATACAATGTATCAGTGTGATAGTGAGATACAATGTATCGGTGTGATAGTGAGATACAATGTATCGGTGTGACAGTGAGATACAATGTATCGGTGTGATAGTGACATACAATGTATCGGTGTGATAGTGACATACAATGTATTCGGTGTGATAGTGACATACAATGTATCGGTGCGATAGTGAGATACAATGTATCGGTGCGATAGTGAGATACAATGTATCGGTGCGATAGTGAGATACAATGTATCGATGCGATAGTGAGATACAATGTATCGGTGCGATAGTGAGATACAATGTATAGGTGTGATAGTGAGATACAATGTATCGGTGCGATAGTGAGATACAATGCATCGGTGCGATAGTGAGATACAATGTATCGGTGCGATAGTGAGATACAATGTATCGGTGCGATAGTGAGATACAATGTATCGATGCGATAGTGAGATACAATGTATCGGTGCGATAGTGAGATACAATGTATCGGTGCGATAGTGAGATACAATGTATAGGTGTGATAGTGAGATACAATGTATAGGTGTGATAGTGAGATACAATGTATAGGTGTGATAGTGAGATACAATGTATAGGTGTGATAGTGAGATACAATGTATCGGTGCGATAGTGAGATACAATGTATAGGTGTGATAGTGAGATACAATGTATAGGTGTGATAGTGAGATACAATGTATAGGTGTGATAGTGACATACAATGTATAGGTGTGATAGTGACATACAATGTATCGGTGTGATAGTGACATACAATGTATCGGTGTGATAGTGACATACAATGTATAGGTGTGATAGTGAGATACAATGTATCGGTGTGATAGTGACATACAATGTATAAATGTGTGACCATTATGTATGTACACACCAATCAGTCGTTGCATTGTGACCACACACCTAATGCCGAGAAGATTCCATTGGATTGCTTATGTGGGCATTAATCCCAGCCTGTGATTCGCCATCCAATCCTAATGACTCGCCATCTTATCCTGATGACCATTGTTACCGGGACAAAAAGTAACTGTTACATTTTAGAACTGTCATAGTTACATAGTTACATAGTTAGTCTGGCTGAAAAAAGACAAAAGTCCATCCAGTTCAACCAAAAAAAAAAAAAAAAAAGTTCTAATCCTACACTCAGAGTTGATCCAGAGGAAGGCAAAAAAATGCCTGATCCAATTTGCTCCTGCAGGGAAAAAATTCCTTCCTGACCCCCTGAGACCCAATGAGAGCAAGAGATGAAGGAGGAAATCTTCCAACCAGGGGTGGACTGACAACTCATGGGGCCCCCTGTCAATAGGGGATCATGGGGCCCCTGTGTCCTTGCCAAAATCAAAAAAGCCTATGAAAAAGGTACCAGGGGCATCTCATGGGGCCCCCTACTGACCCCGGGCCCTTGGGCAGTGCCCGAGTTTCCAAACGGTCAGTCTGCCCCGCTTCCAATGGAGACACCTATTGTGGTGACACATTGGGAGAGATTTGCTCTCACTTCCGGTTGCATTTCCAAAACAGGAAGTGAAAAAAAAACTCGCTGAGGCTCGGTTCACACCTATGCAGTTTACGTTTGATCCAATTCTGCAGTGCGTTTTGCGTTTTTTTGTACATGCGTTTTTGACATGTTTTTGATGCACTTTGCGTTTTTTTTTACTTGTTGCTGGGCAGATTAAAATGCAAAACGCATCAAAAAACGCACTACATGCGTTTTTTTTTTTACATGCGTTACCTGCAGCATCTCTATCGAAGTCTATAGAACCAAAAACACAAAGTTTTGCATTTAAAAAGTCCCTGACCCTTTCCAAAAAAAAAGCAGCGGGTGAAAACGCGGAGATGTGAACCTGTCCCATAGGAGATCATGCTCAATGGACTGCTGTGCGTTTCTGGAAAAGAAGAGCCATCAAAAAGTAACATAAAAGGGGGTCTAAAGTAGAACTAAAAGCAAAATGTTTTTTTTCTTTTTTTTTCATTTTGGATAGAGTAAGGGAAGGTTATAACCCCGGTCAGTTTATTTGCTTTCTGTGTCCTATTGGGGGAGATTTCCCTTCACTTCCTGTCCCATGGCCAAAACAGAAAGCGAGAGGAAATCCCTCCAAAGTGAAGGAAGCCCTGGAATGAGTGTCCCCATTGGAAGATTGCCCCTCTTTTCCTGTTCTAGTGAGAACCCAAAATTTGGGATTTTCTTTTACTTTCAATGGTAACAGTAACCAGGACAAATAGAGAGGGGGAATCTTGCTAACAGGGACACAGACAGCAACAATTCTAACAGGGGGTCTAATCCCTCTCCACTCTATTCAAGACTAAAAAAAAAAATTGGGGGCTTTACATACATTTAATTGTAATGTTCCCAACCACTTGTCAGTCTGCCCGGCAACACTATGGGGTGTATTTATTATAAATGTGCACAGTGAAACTACATGTACATTAGTTCTGTGCCAAAGGGGCAAAAACAAAATGTTACAAGGCTTTTCTCTCTTCAGGTCAAATGTTATTCATTCGTAGGAGTGAATTGGGAAAATACCACATTATGGTCACTAGATGGAGCTCTATATAGGAAATAAATACTTATTTACTATGATCATCAGCTCCACCTAGTGACCATAATGTGCCATTTAACGGATTCACTTTATCCTTATGAATGAATAACATTCGATCTGCAGAGGAAATAGCCGAGTAATATTAGTTTTTTGCCCCCATTTGCACAGAACAAATGAGCATGCAGTTTCACAGGATGAACAGCTCTGCACTTTTTTTTCTTTATGAACACACACCTATGTTACATGAGGAAGCACATTGACCCTAAATGTATAATGCGATATGTGACCAGGGCCGGGACAAGGGGTGGGCAGGAGGGGCGGCTGCCCTGGGCACAATGATTTACTGTAGGGATGGGGGGCGCCCTCCTTCTGTGACAAGGCTGGTAGGAGTAGTGACAGCGGCAGTGATTTTGACAAGTGAGGGACTGCTGGGTGTAGGATCCCCTAAGCTTGCAAATCATGAATGGGGACAGAATGGGGGAAGGGGGGGGCAGTTTGGCATCTTTGTCCTGGGAGCTGGAAGACCTCGTCCCAGCACTTTATGTGACTGTTGCTAATCTAATGTTAAAAGGCTTCAGCCTGAGTAGAAAAGCCTGTGCCCTGCCAGCAAGCTGCAGAGTGGTCTTTCTGCAGAGGTCTGCCTTGTCTCCTGTGAGTGCAGATTGCCATGCTCAGGGGTTGGAGCCGATGAAGCCCTGCACAGTCCTTCCTTATGGGGGCCATAGACGGGTCGAAAATCGGCCGATTTTCGCACAGTTAGTGGGTTAATTGGTCAGCCGTTTTTTCGGGGTTTGGCACATTTTTTTTATCGTTCATGTTGGAAAATTCATGCCCAATTTTGACGATCGGCCGATTTTCCCAGCAATGATGGGCAAATCGGCTGATCGTTTTACCGATAAAAAATCTGCACATGAGCCGTGACCTGCAGAAGAAGAAAAAATAAGAAGAAAAGAAAAATAAGAAGAAGAAAAAGAAGAATAATAATAATAAGAAGAAAAGAAAAATAATAAGAAGAAGAAGATGAAGAAAAAGAAGAAAAAGAAGAAGAAGAAGCAGAAAAGAAGAAAATAAGAGAAGTAGAAGAAGTAAAAAGAAGAAAAAGAAGAAGAAGAAGAAGAGGAAGAAGAAGAGGAAGAAGAAGAGGAAGAAGAAAAAAGAAGCAAAAGAAGAAAAAGAAGAAGAGGAAGAAAAAAGGAAGAAGAAAAAAGAAGCAAAAGAAGAAAAAGAAGAAGAAGAAGAGGAAGAAAAAAGAAGAAGAAAAAGAAGTAAAAAAAGAAGTAAAAGAAGAGGAAAGAGAAGAAGTAGAAAAAGAAGAAGAAAAAAAGAAGAAGAAACAGAAGAAGAAGAAGAAGAAAAAGAAGCAGAAAAGAAGAAAAAGAAGAAGATAGAGAAGAAGAATTACAGTCCGCTATTATATTTTTTATGAAAAAGTATTGCGGTTGCAACAAATGTATCCATCTGTATCCGAATAAAAACATCTGTATCCGAAATGGATACAAATTGTTACATTGTTGCAACCACAAGACTTTTCATATAAAATATAATAGCGGAGCTCTCTGCAAAGGACAGAAGTAATTATGGGGTTAAATGCCAGCGGCAGACGGGACGAAAATTGGCCGATTTTTTTACTGTTAATGGTAACGTCGGCCGATCGAATGACCGATTTTTCTTTTTTTTTAAAAAAAAAACGGCCGATTTTCGACCCGTCTATGGCTTGCATTAGTCTTTTGAGTTGAGTGACGTGTGATGTCAACCCAGAGGACTTGTGGAGAAAAAAGGGTACTGCAAGGGCTAGCTCCAGGTTGAAGGTATTAAAGCCAGACCTTCCCCTCCAATGAAAAATTAGCCGGTAGTTGGCCTTTAAACCCCAAAATAGGACAACAGCACCCATTCACTTTCTTTTCTTTCCTTTTGCAGTCTTGGCCTTGCAGTCCATCTCAGATGCTGCCTCCATCTCTCCTCGCCTGCCCACACACGTGGTTATGACCTCCATCATTGTGGTGAACCAGGAACCGTTCAACATGGATCAGTTGTCTTTGAGCTGGGAGCATAACGGGCACCTCCTGGTGGAGTACAGAGATAATAATGTGACCTCCTATGAACCCCGGGCGTTGATGCCTCAGGAGAAGTTTAATGAGGGTAACTTCTCTCTGATCCTTATTAATATCACCATCAATGACACCGGAAACTACACCTGCAAGATCCAATACGACAGGTCGGAACAGACCATCCAGTACGCCCTTCAAGTAACAAGTAAGGATGGACCAATAAATCATTTTAATAGAATGAGAAGACAAAGAATTCTGAAAAATAGATTAAAAAGACTCTTGGTTATCATTTTGGAACAGTGTTTCTCAACTATTTTCAGTTGTGGTGCCCCTAAAACTATGGAAAATCCTGAGGCACCCCAGTCTAAGATGTAAAAACGTAAATGTTGTCAATGGAAAGCCTGTCCCTAGGTAGATGCACACAACTACCTGGATTAAATAAATTTCACATCAGAAGCCCCCTTCTTATTAGAAGTTCCCCCATCACATCACAGGTCCCCATGTCATGTCAGAGCCCCCCATCACATCAGCGTTAACCCTATTCATCAGATAACTCCTATATATGAGTCCCAACATCATGTCAGCATGCCCCCCATCATTTTAGATTCCCCCTATACTTCAGAGGCCTCTCTATACATGAGTACCCTCCATCTCATCAGCATTGCCCCTGTACATCAGAGACCATGACCATGAGTCCCACCATCATACCAGAGGTTCAACATCCACCATGATGTTCAACATCCACCAGGTCCACCATCAACATACATAAGTCCCACCATCATACCAGAGGTTCAACATCCACCATGAGGTTCAACATCCACCAGGTCCACCATCAACATACAAGAGTCCCACCATCATACCAGAGGTTCAACATCCACCATGAGGTTCAACATCCACCAGGTCCACCATCAACATACATAAGTCCCACCATCATACCAGAGGTTCAACATCCACTATGAAGTTCAACATCCACCATCAACATACATGAGTCCCACCATCATACCAAAGGTTCAACATCCATCATGAGGTTCAACATCCACCAGATCCACCATCAACATACATAAGTCCCACCATCATACCAGAGGTTCAACATCCACCAGGTCCATCATCAACATTTATGAGTCCCACCATCATACCAGAGGTTCAACATCCACCATGAGGTTCAACATCCACCATGAGGTTCAACATCCACCAGGTCCACCATCAACATACATAAGTCCCACCATCATACCAGAGGTTCAACATCCACCATGATGTTCAACATCCACCAGGTCCACAATCAACATACATGAGTCCCACCATCATACCAGAGGTTCAACATCCACCATGAGGTTCAACATCCACCAGGTCCACCATCAACATACATGAGTCCCACTATCATACCAAAGGTTTAACATCCATCGTGAGGTTCAACATCCACCAGATCCACCATCAACATACATGAGTCCCACCATCATACCAGAGGTTCAACATCCACCAGGTCCACAATCGACATTTATGAGTCCCACCATCATACCAGAGGTTCAACATCCACCATGATGTTCAACATCCACCAGGTCCACCATCAACATACATGAGTCCCACCATCATACCAGAGGTTCAACATCCACCAGGTCCATCATCAACATATATGAGTCCCACCATCATACCAGAGGTTCAATATCCACCAGGTATACCATCAACATACATGAGTCCCACCTTGATACCAGAGGTTCAACATCTACCAGGAGATTCAACATCCACCAGGTCCACCATCAACATACAGTCTCACATCATATCAGAGGCCCCCTTCACATCAGAAGAATTAGGGTGCACAGATAGCAATACAATCCTAATAGGGGTTCTAATCCATCTCCACTCTATCCAAATCTTTAAAAAAAAAAAGTTTGCCTTTAGTTATACTTTAGTAGATCATTACACAGTCAACTCCTAATACTGATTCACTTTATTTGATGAGATGGAGGATAACCCTTAGACTTGTTCTTCTCTTTCACAGAAAACAGGATCCAGTTGATTGATCTGTCACCCAAGAAGGTTGATGAGAACAATGATAGGAATGGTAAGACTTATATTCCATTGATCGATCACTTACTTTTCTTTTACTTCTGAAACCCTTTCCTACAAGCAGTGTGTGGTGGGAACTATGTTCGATATCATTGGGGAAGAATTTGATTGAATAAAGAATGTTGAACTCTAATGATGCCAGCATGGCTCACTAATCCCATTGGCAGACATATGGACCACCCAATACGATCATGGTAGATGATAGATGGTGTCTCCTCTCAGGATCGGGCAAAAGTTTTAAGAAGACTGTCCTAAAAACTCTTTAACCATTACCCCCCAGTTTTGGATAGATTGGAAAAGAATGTCAACCTTTGCCAAGTTCTTGCTGCCGTCACTATTTGTCTGGTGACCTTTGTCACTTCCATAGAAAGTGATGGGAAATATAAGGCAACCCTGATGAACAAGACCCCCAAAACCCACTGAATGGGGCCTTCTAAAGATGCCAGCTTGGCTTGCCAGTCCCTAGAGGTCAGAAGCCATATGGGCCACCCACTATAATGATGGTAGGTGGTATCCTCTGTACTGCAGTAAGCTGAAGTAAAATTGGGCTGAATTTAACTTACTGAAGAGTTAATGTCAGGAATGGACTTACCAATAATGGTGGGACTCTCACCTGCCTTGTGGGCTGCAGTACCAGGGCTGGCCAGCGGGTGCTCTCAGCAATCAGAGACTCAACCCTGCAGCCAGCCAAACATCTGAAGCTGATTACGGAGGTGTATTTAAGGGATGGCCAGACCTGCAGTCTGGGCCTTGGTGTGTGTTTTTCCATGGGCCCCTGTTTCTTGTTACCTGCATTCCTGTTCCTGCCTGACTTACTCGTTGCCTACCCTGCCTGATCCTGACCTCTGCTGTCTTCTCCTGTTTGATCCCTGGCTTGTGACCCCGAGCATTCTCTGCCTAACCCCCTGTACCTACCTGCCCGTTAGTTGCTGTACCCGACTCGTGACCTGACTACTCTCTGCCTGCTCCTCCTGTTCCTACCTGCCCGATTGTTATTGACCCGGCCTGCCTGACTACGCTTGCATTGTATGTATTGTTATCTGTGGGTGGTTTGGTTTGGTTCGTTTGCACTGTGTTTATGTTTTAGTATTGCACTGCGTTTTGTATTGTTAGTATTAATAAATTATATTGTTTATAACATATCTGAAGCCTGCGTTTCCCTGCGTCAGTTCACATACCTCTGGTCATACCTGGAGCCCTGACAGTTAAGCTGTCTGTGGATAGTGCCAAGTCAGCAGAAAACCATACTGTCTGTGGAGGTATGTCAATGCATACAGTGGAATTTTTTTGTTTTCAACAAATATACAGCAGAATTTAAAACAGTCTTAACAAAACAGCCACTAATATGCAACTGAATAATTTTCTGTAAATCATTACAATGGAGTGCTCAACAACTCTACAAGTCTGCATGAGTAAATTGCTGATCTGTCACAACATGTGCCAACACTATCATTATCAAGGAAAGCTTCACCTTATCATTGGAAAGCCTTCCCAGAGCTTCAGTTAGTGACTTTGCCTAGGCAGACATGGTTGTGTAGGTCTACAATCTTGTCCCTGACATCCTTGGACAGCTCTTTGGTCTTTGCCATGGTGGAGAGTTTTGGAATCTGATGGTTTGATTGCTCCTGTGGACAGGTGTCTTTTATACAGGTAACAAAATGAGATTAGCAGCACTCCCTTTAAGAGACTGCTTCTAATCTCAGCTTGTTACCTGTATGAAAGACACCTGGTAGCCAGAAATCCTGCTGAATAATAGGGGATCAAGTTGGTTCATTGCTGAGATTCCATCTTGCAGAAGGCTTTAGTGCCGGTGGAATGTGGAAGTGTGTGAAGGAGTTTGGTCGTTTTTAATACCACGGCTTTTCTTTTGTCTTGTACAGCGCAGAAGATTAAGCTGATGAAACGGTCATCGAAGAAGTCTGGTAAGAACAGTAAAAGCAATTACTTGCTGAATGACAACAATACCCATTCTGCAAGAAAGGCATTTAAAGTGGCGGAAACTTAAAAAAAAAAACAGAGCTGTTACCGGGCATAAAAAGTTTGTGGTTTTTCCTCGGTGCCCTTAGGCCCAGGCATACCTGTTCATTCTGAACTTGCAAAGTCTTCATATCACCCACTCTCTTTTTACGCACATTCCCATTGGGCCAGTACAGCTGTCCTTATTCCTGATGTGCCAATAGGAATGTGGGTGGGGTAGGGGGTAGGAGAGAGTTGGCAAAGTCCGACATGATCCTGAGAGCTGCTACAGGGATGCAAAGACATCTCCAAGTACCTATACTTCATACATATTGTTACATAGTTAGTCTGGCTGAAAAAAAGACAAAAGTCCATCCAGTTCAACCATAGAAAAAAAAAAAGTTACAATCCTACACCCACAATTGATCCAGAGGAAGGCAAAAACCCAGCAAAGCATGATCCAATTTGCTCCTGCAGGGGAAAAAAGTCCTTCCTGATCCCCTGAGAGACAATCGGATATTCCCTGAATCAGGGGCGGACTGACAACTCATGGGGCCCCCGGGCAATAGGGGATTATGGGGCCCCTGTGTCCTTGCCCAAACTCAAAAAAGCCTATGAAAAAGGTACCATGGGGCCCCCTACTGACCCCGGGCCCCTCGGGCAGTGCCCGAGTTTCCAAATGGTCAGCCTGCCCCTGCCCTGGATCGACTTTCCCTATAAATAAGTACCAGCTGACAAAGTCTATTCAACCACTTTCCCGCTGTCCTATAGCAGAAATACTGGTACAGGGTGGCACGGGTGTGCAAAATCACGCATATATTCGTGATTTTGCATTTCCGGGTAAGGGGGCACGCCCACCCTACCACACGCCGCCATTCTTGGATGCGGCTGTCAATCACCGGGGCCTGACTGGTAATTTCCGACGATCACCGACGAAGAGGAGGACTGTTTTTTTTACTGTCAGCTGGGGCAGCTAGCGCAAAAAATAAAAAACCCTTTGGTGATCAAATACCACCAAAAGAAATCTCAAGTTGTGTGCAAAAATGATATCAATTTAATTTGTGTACAGCATTGTCAGTTACAGACTGATAACTCATGGGGCCCCCCGGGCAACAGGGGATCATGGGGCCCCTGTGTCCTCTCCCACACTCAAACCACACCCAAAAAAGCCTATGAAAGGTACCAGAGGCATCTCATGGGGTCCCCTACTGACCTTGGGCCCTCGGGCAGTGCTAGAGTTCCCAAATAGTCAGTCCGCCCCTGGTCAGTTAAAGTAGCACAGCACTGTATAGCAAATAATTGCCTGGCTATAAAAAGGGGGGGGGTCTTAAGTCTCTAGCGTTGCCTCTCCCTGTAGGGGTCTTGGGGTTACAAGAAGACCTACCCACAGGACACTCCTTATTCCCAGGATGCAGCAAAAATTAAAAAAATTGGCGTTGGAGAGGAAGGAAGAACTAAAAGTCCAAAATCGTAGAGGAGTAGTCCGTATTATACAGTTTTCCAATGAGGAGTATAGTGTAATCAGCAATATCGGAAGGCAGCACCCCTGGAGTAAAACTGAACATTGTGCATGGAGAAGAAAAGGAGAGAGGTCTGACGAAGAAGCTGACGCTTCTAAATGTGTTACCGCCCCCTCTTGCGGCATTACGCTCACGTGGTGACGTCACGTCCGCCTGGCCGCCATTTGCGTTCTAGCCTGGTTTCTATCACAGCTGCTGGACGCCACCACTGGCGGAACTGGGAGATCAGACCCCCACAGCATCCTTGGCTCCTAGATGGTATTCTACCCTCTCCACCAGCCTCCATGACCTTTGAAGGACGACGTCCATCCTGAGATACATGCCCTTTACTTCATGGTTATCTAGTGAGTTACCTCAGTTACCTTGCTCAATAAAATGACCTTTTAATACTGCACTTAATTTGGCGCCCATCTCTCCTTTTATTTCCAGGATAGATCACCCTTACTTGGCCTTGAGTGAAGTAGGTCTACAGTATAGTTGAAAGCAGTTTTCAGGGCTTTACTTAAACCTAGTAGTAGGACAGGTGCACGATGGAGGTGAAAAAACCAAAACTCACATGGGGCTTCTACAGCTCCTTGGCTAGCAGTCTCTGGGGGTATCAGCACCCAGAATCATCACATAGAACTTCTTCTGGTGCATCCGATCCAAAACAAGAGGTTCGAGTGTAACTCCATCCCAGTGATGACTCTAGCAGAAGATCTATGACCTGGCGATACCCTTTAGATCTGTGCTCCATCCCTGAGGTCTCAAACTAGGTACACAGCAGGCCCAATATGTTCCCTCAGAACATCTCTCCAAAGACAAGGGGTACAAAGGGACCCTTCCAGAACCCCTGTTTTCAAAACATTCCAACGCACTGATAACAAGGTCACCACGGGTTTGCCAGCTGACTTCTGCAAAAAGAAAGCTTTGGCCTTGGATCTACTGTACTTTAACCATGTAATAAACCTATCTGCTGGTAGTAATTTCAGAAAACGTTTTGTTCAGTCTTGACTCTTGTACAATTTTACGATATACTAAAAATGTGAAAGATAACAGATGGAACAGAGGACTCCTTTATGACAACTATGTTTTGACCATATACTGTATGTATTACAATAATGCTGATGATCTGATCACTCTGATACCTCAACAGCCCAGCAAAGCACTTCGTCAAGCCCTGCACCATTTCTAATTATTGGTGATAATGAAAATCTAAAGATCGCTAAAACTGGAGAAACCATTAGCCTGATGTGTACCTTCCAGACGGATCCCTCCATGGAGCTGACCATGTTGGACATACGTTGGTCCAAGGACGGTGTCACCAAATGGATCTTCAACAAGGACACCGAGGAGGATCAAACCAAGCTGGATGAACTTTCTAGAGGAAAAGCAACCTTGAATTTGACTTCCATCCAGAAGACAGACAGCGGGAACTACACTTGTAACATCAGATACCGCTCATTGGAGGGTCACATGTACACCATTGTTATTGTGAAAGGTAGGTGATATCTCCTGTTATGAAGGTCAGTTTATCTAAAGCTGAGTAGAGTCATCCACAGGTCACTCTGTCATAGAGTCCAGGGGAGAGATGTCTCTTCCATGGTTCCCGGTTCAGTTTTCAGACACTTTCAAATGTTGTGTGCTTCAGCACCTCCTGTTACATTCTCAACAATATAAGTAAAATAAAATTTCCAGCAGGGATGGTGGGACCCCTCACAATAGGTACAGCGGGTGTACAAACCCGGAAACTCAGCACAGGGATGGTGAGAGCCCCTCATATTGGGCACAGCGAGTGTACAGACCCAGGAACTCAGCACAGGGATGGTGAGAACCCCTCATAATGGGCACAGCAGGTGTACAGACCCGGGAACTTAGCACAGGGATGGTGAGAACCCCTCATAATGGGCACAGTGGGTGTACAGACCCGGGAACTCAACACAGGGATGGCTGAAAAAAAGGCAAAAGTCCATCCAGTTCAATTATAAAAAAAAAAAAAGTTATAATCCTGCACCCACAGTTGATCTAGAGGAAGGTGAAAAAAACCCAGCAAGCATGAAACAATTTGCTCCTGCTGGGGAAAAAATTCCTTCCTGATCCCCCGAGAGGCAATCGGATATTCCCTGGATCAACTTTACCTATAAATGTTATTTCCAGTTATATTCTGTGTATCCAAGAAAGGATCCAGGACTTTCCTACAGCAATCCACTGAGCTGGCCACAACCAACTGAGGGAGTCTATTCCACATTCTCACAGCTCTTACTGTGAAGAAACCTTTCAGTGTTTGGAGTTTAAATCTCTTTTCCTAAAGAGCGCCCCCTTGTCCTCTGTGATGACCTCAGGGGGAATAACTCTACACCGAGTTCACTATATGAACCACTGATGTATTTATACATGGAGATCATATCCCCCCTTATGTATTATACATGGAGATCATATCCCCCCTTATGTATTATACATGGAGATCATATCCCCCCTTATGTATTATACATGGAGATCATATCCCCCCCCTTATGTATTATACATGGAGATCATATCCCCCCCCTTATGTATTATACATGGAGATCATATCCCCCCTTATGTATTATACATGGAGATCATATCCCCCCTTATGTATTTATACATGGAGATCATATCCCCCCTTATGTATTATACATGGAGATCATATCCCCCCCCTTATGTATTATACATGGAGATCATATCCCCCCCCTTATGTATTATACATGGAGATCATATCCCCCTTATGTATTATACATGGAGATCATATCCCCCCTTATGTATTATACATGGAGATCATATCCCCCCTTATGTATTATACATGGAGATCATATCCCCCCTTATGTATTATACATGGAGATCATATCCCCCCTTATGTATTATACATGGAGATCATATCCCCCCTTATGTATTATACATGGAGATCATATCCCCCTTATGTATTATACATGGAGATCATATCCCCCTTATGTATTATACATGGAGATCATATCCCCCCTTATGTATTATACATGGAGATCATATCCCCCCCTTATGTATTATACATGGAGATCATATCCCCCCTTGTGTATTATACATGGAGATCATATCCCCCCTTATGTATTATACATGGAGATCATATCCCCCCCTTATGTATTATACATGGAGATCATATCCCCCTTATGTATTATACATGGAGATCATATCCCCCCCTTATGTATTATACATGGAGATCATATCCCCCCTTATGTATTATACATGGAGATCATATCCCCCCTTATGTATTATACATGGTGATCATATCCCCCCCTATGTATTATACATGGAGATCATATCCCCCCTTATGTATTATACATGGAGATCATATCCCCCCCTTATGTAATATACATGGAGATCATATCCCCCCTTATGTATTATACATGGAGATCATATCCCCCCTTATGTATTATACATGGAGATCATATCCCCCCCTTATGTATTATACATGGAGATCATATCCCCCCTTATGTATTATACATTGAGATCATATCCCCCCTTAATCTCCTCTTCTTCAGAGAGAATAAATTCAGTTCTCTAATCTATTCTCATAGCTGATCTCCTCCATGCCTCGTATTGGTTTGGTTGCCCTTCTCTGTACTTTCTCCAGTTCCCCAATGTTCTTTTTGTGAATTGGAGCCCTAAACTGAACTGCATATTCCAGATGAGGTCTTACTAATGATTTGTACAGAGTTTGGAGCAGAAGAGTTTAGGGACAGTTAAACGTTCCTCTTCTGAACGCAGAACAATCGCCTTCAGGAGAGGAACACTTTGGCCATAAAACGCTAAACGCAGCTAAACGCAGCTAAACGCTAGCGCTTGTGTGTTTATCCATGTCAATGGAAAATACTATGGCCAATCAAATGAATAAACGGCCAAGTGCTAAACGCTGCTAAACGGTGCTAAACGCGGGTAAAAGCAGCTAAACACGTTTTTGCCGCGTTAAGAGTTTTTCTGCCTTCAGGAGAGTTTAACGACTAGGTGAGTTCATGTGCACATGAGGCCTTAAGGCAGTTCTGAAGGAAAAGGGGGGTCCAACCCAATACTAGCAAGGTGTACCTAATAAAGTGGCTGGTGATTGTAACATGTCATTTTTACCAGGGGTTTCCAAACTTTTCAATACGAGGGTTGCATTGTATAGTTCACATATCATTGTGGGCCAAATAAAAATCAGTTTCATAAATGAATGAACACCCACAAATGAATGAACACCCACAAATGAATGAACACATCTTACTTGGAGCCTCTTTTTTTGGAATCAGCGTGATATGATTTAGATTAGAACTTCAAAAAAGCAGGGACTCCCCAGACCAGTTCATACATAACTCATGTTCTCATTATATCTCTGTACAGATGATGACCTTGATAAATACTGGAAAGAAAAAGTCGGGCTGGTTGTCGGAGTGACAGTCGCTGCAAACTGCTTGGTTTTGTTCTTCTACTTTTGTATTTACCTCTAATTTTATTTTACCCACAGTGCTGTGCGGCTGATTATGCATGTTTTTGGGAACAGAGCAGAGTTGTAATATATGAGTCTACATTCCCATTATTTCGACCTGTAGCATGCTGGACCCATGGCCTGTATTCATCACCAGCATTTTCATTCATGGTGGCCAGTGAAATTAATTTTGTTCCTCTTTACAGTCAGGAGCGCACAGTTCTGACTGCCTCTAGGTGGCAGGCCCCATTGCTGCATGACATGGCTTTGTTTATAAACAAAGTCACATTAGATCTCACAGTTTATAAATGAAAGTAAAGTGAAAAAAGTGAGAGTTTAAGTGAAAAAACATCTTATTTTTGCCCTCCCTCTTGATTTCAGTGTTTTCACTGTGCTTCCAATTGATGCAAAATGATCAGTAATATTCCACCTTGGCCAATCGACTAGTCTTGATCAATTGCAATTGAAATTGAGTCTAACTTGATCAGAAGGCGTGTTTGCCAGTTTGATCGTTTAGATCAGGGGTGTCAAACTGGTGGTCCTCCAGCTGTTGCCAAACTACAAGTCCCATGAGGCATTGCAAGACTGGCAGTTGTAAACTGGCGGCCCTCCAGCTGCTGCCAAAGTACAAGTCCCTTGAGGCATTGCAAGACTGACAGTTGCAAACTGGCGGCCCCCCAGCTGTTGCCAAAGTACAAGTCCCATAAGGCATTGCAAGACTGACAGTTGCAAACTGGCGGCCCTCCAGCTGTTGCCAAACTACAAGTCCCATGAGGCATTGCAAGATTGACAGTTACAAACTGGCGGCCCTCTAGCTGTTGCCAGAGTACAAGTCCCATGAGGCATTGCAAGACTGACAGTTGCAAACTGGTGGCCCTCCAGCTGTTGCCAAACTACAAGTCTCATGAGGCATTGCAAGACTGACAGTTGCAAACTGGCGGCCCTCCAGCTGTTGCCAAACTACAAGTCCCATGAGGCATTGCAAGACTGACAGTTGCAAACTGGCGGCCCTCCAGCTGTTGCCAAACTACAAGTCCCATGAGGCATTGCAAGACTGACAGTTACAAACTGGCGGCCCTCCAGCTGTTGCCAAACTACAAGTCCCATGAGGCATTTCAAGACTGACAGTTACAAACTGGCGGCCCTCTAGCTGTTGCCAAAGTACAGGTCCCATGAGGCATTGCAAGACTGACAGTTACAAACTGGCAGCCCTCCAGCTGTTGCCAAAGTACAAGTCCCATGAGGCATTGCAAGATTGACAGTTACAAACTGGCGGCCCTCCAGCTGTTGCCAAAGTACAAGTCCCATGAGGCATTGCAAGATTGACAGTTACAAGCATGACTCTGAACGGCAGAGGCATGATGGAACTTGTAGTTTTGCAACAGCTGGAGGGCCGCCAGCTGTTGCCAAACTACAAGTCCCATGAGGCATTGCAAGACTGGCAGTTGTAAACTGGCGGCCCTCCAGCTGCTGCCAAAGTACAAGTCCCATGAGGCATTGCAAGACTGACAGTTGCAAACTGGCGGCCCCCCAGCTGTTGCCAAAGTACAAGTCCCATAAGGCATTGCAAGACTGACAGTTGCAAACTGGCGGCCCTCCAGCTGTTGCCAAACTACAAGTCCCATGAGGCATTGCAAGATTGACAGTTACAAACTGGCGGCCCTCTAGCTGTTGCCAGAGTACAAGTCCCATGAGGCATTGCAAGACTGACAGTTGCAAACTGGTGGCCCTCCAG